GTGTGTTTGTGGTTGTGTGCTTGTGGTTGTGTGTTTGTGGTTGTGTGCTTGTGGTTGTGTGTTTGTGGTTGTGTTTGTGGTTGCGTGTTTGTGGTTGTGTTTGTGGTTGCGTGATTGTGGTTGTGTTTGTGGTTGTGTGTTTGTGCTTGTGTGTTTGTGGTTGTGTTTGTAGTTGTGTGTTTGTGGTTGTGTGCTTGTGGTCGCGTGTTTGTGGTCGCGTGTTTGTGGTTGTGTGGTTGTGGTTGTGTTTGTGGTTGTGTGTTTGTGGTTGTGTTTGTGGTTGTGTTTGTTGTTATGTTTGTGGTTGTGGTTGTGGTTGTGTCTTTGTGATTGTGTGTTTGTGGTTGTGGTTGTGTCTTTGTGATTGTGTGTTTGTGGATGTGTGTTTGTGGTTGTGTGTTTGTGGATGTAATCTGCCATTCTATCTGGCAATCTATCTGACATACTACCTGGCATACTGTCTGGCATACTACTGGCATTTTGTCGGGCATACTATCTGTCATTCTATCTAGCATATCTTCTGGCATTCTATTTTGCATTTTATCTGGCATTCTATCTGGCATATTTTCTGGCATTCTATCTGGCAATGTATCTAGCAATCTATCTGACACACTATTTGGCATACTATCTGGCATATCTTCTTGCAGCATTCTATCTGTTCTATCTGCCATTTTATCTTGGCAAACTATCTGGTTGAGGTCCAGCGGTGCACACTGCGATCCGATCCTTGCGGTTGAGGTCCAGCGGTGCACACTGCGATCGGATCCTTGCGGTTGAGGTCCAAGACTGCACACTGCGATCGGATCCTTGCGGTTGAGGTCCAGGGATGCACACTGCGATCGGATCCTTGCGGTTGAGGTCCAGGTGTGCACACTGCGAGGGGATCCTTGCAGTTGAGGTCCAGGGGTGCACACTGCGCTCGGATCCTTGCGGTTGAGGTCCAGGGGTGCACACTGCGCTCGGACCTTGCGGTTGAGGTCCTGCAGGGGTGCACACTGCGAGGGGATCCTTGCGGTTGAGGTCCAGGGGTGCACACTGCGCTCGGATCCTTGCGGTTGAGATCCAGGGGTGCACACTGCGATCTGGAGCTGGCCAGACAAGATCGGCGAAGCAGATTGGCGAAGCAGATTGGCGATGAAGCTTGGCGATGAAGATTTGCGATGAAGATTGGCGAGGAAGGAAGCAAGGAGGAAGGAAGGAAGGAAGGAAGGAAGGAGGAAGAACAACTGTGATAAAATCTAACAACCCTCACCTGGCAGGTGGGGAACAAGAAACCATGCTGCAGGTGGCCAGCACTGCGACGCAAGGCACGTCCCAGCCTTTCAAGAATCTCTTGCCAATTGGCGCGCAAAGCAACTTGCTCAAGTACACTTCCTTGGTTGAGAACGACCGTTTGTTGGAATTCTTTCACGACGCGGCTGCAAATCTTGATCAGAACCCTGATGCTCAGAGTCACTTTGGTGAATGTGTGCCAGTGATTTTGGCATCCATTAGCCACATGTGGCTCTTTCGCGCTGGCCGGCCACTCACGGCAAAGGCCAGCTGCGGAAGTGGCTTGGTCATCCGATGTCATCCAATTTTATGCAGATCATTGCATATATGTCATTACAAATCCAGTGTTGTGTGTTTCAGCGTCATGCGCCATCGAGCTGAATGATCGTCCCAGCACTAAAAAGGAGCTCACAGAGTGACAAACGAGTTCACATGCACATGTCATGGACATGTTGCTTTCACCTTTCCGTCTTCCTTGAGACCCCTTCGACCCCTTCGCCCCTCTCTCGTTTCCACACGTTTCCGCGCTATTTCACACGCATCTGACACGTCATGCTTCCATCCAAAACGCTCGCCCAATGTGAGCGCCAGAGCGCAACACGGCGAATGGTTGCGAACGGCCGCGGTCGCTACGACAACGAGTCCTCTACTCCCAGACCCCCAGAAAGTTAAGCGAGAAGTCTTCGCTATGCATTCGGCAAAAGATATCATCCAGGCGCTGTGTGCACATGGTCGCGAAGTGGTTACATGAATGATGACGATGAGTCGTAGGGTCATATAAGGCTGAGGAACGTACAGCTGATGCCCACGAAAAAAATCGGCTGACCGATCCAGACCCGAAGGAATATGACACCGCGTCCATGAACACGAGCGAATGGGGCCTTCTGATCTGACAGGGATGCTTGTAGACGGTGTCCACGGAGCAGGTTTTGCCGACCTTGCCCAACAACAGTTTTCCAGGGTGCAGGCAATGGATGCCTTCGTGTTTGGCAGCTGTGCAGGTCAAGTACTTCGTCGCCAAAACGGAGTTCAACACCCGCCTAATTAGCTCTTTTTTCTTGTGAAACCTTTTGGAGTTGCAGACTGAGAGATCCTTCTCCCAATTCCGATTCTGCATGCAAACGGTCGTTTTTGCCAGCTCCAACCCTTTGAAACAAGTCATCGAGTCATCCATACAGTGTATGTCTTCCCAATAGCGGTGGCCTCCAACTTAATAGCGATAGCCTATGTCATCCATAAATGCCACCACAATGTGCGTCAATTGCTGCCATCATTGCAAGCACCTGGCTGCCAGACGGGGTGCATGCACGCATGTTTTCAACAGTCAATAGCAGCACCTGTAGTCTGGAACAATTTTCATGGTCTGCAAGAAGCTGCTGTTCAGTGTACTGACAACTTTTGCAACTCCCAGTTTGCATACGAAGCTAGGGACACAACACCCTTCAGACCTTTCCAGCACCTTCTTCGCGATGGTCAGGCCAGGCGCAACAAAATCATACTTGTTCACCAACTAACTTGGCTGCCAACCCTCAAATTTGTTGACAAGATTGAAAAATCTAACTACAAATTGCGGGACATGGCAAGGATTAAGCGGGAACAGACACTCGTTGGAACTGAAACTGCAACTGCCAGCAAGGGGCCAACAAAAACACAATTCAAAGAGGTTTTTTGCCTCCAATGAGTGTCTAGATGTCCACTCAACAACAATCTAGCTGGTATCTCCGTGTGGACATGAGTTTACTCTGTCCACACGGGCGCCTCCCGTTTGACCAGGCTGGGGTCCGGCCATCTTTGCGTCCCCAATGGTCCGGCAGTAGCGTAGCCAACTTGGACCATGAAATCGCAGCCAGAAGTGTGATTCATCAACTTCCAGACCGATGAATTACATGGCTTTGGAGAACTGAGGTGAGATGGTCAACTAAAAAAAAACGCACTGTCCACTTCTGCTGGTCATGAGCATGGAACTGGGCATCTACCCGAATCCAACCGATCTAACTGCGTTCTGAGGTCCTTTGACGCTGTAGCTGGAGTGTTAGCTGAGTGTGGACCATGGCGAAAAACGCCCTGACTTGCCATTATGGTAGAACCACTTGGGGGACGTTGGACTCAGAGATTATCCACCTGTCATAAAGAGAAGACCAAATGTAGGCCTTTTCAAGATGTTTCTCCCCTCCCCCCGTCCGTCACTAGAGAGTCTTCTGCAAACGGATCCCTTTTGCCGAGGCACATGCGCGTGCAAGCACCGCACCCGCAGAATGGCCCTATGCCAATGCAGCCGCAGGGGCCAATGCAGCCACAGGGGCCAATGCAGCCACAGGGGCCAATGCAGCCACAGGGGTCCATGCAGCTTGGATTTATGATCAGCATGTCTTTTTTGCATAGACTGGACGTTGGCCACTGTCGGGGAAATCTTCAAAATCCATTTCTGCGCAACCTTCTGGATGTGTTTCTTGTAGGCTCTAGACCTTTCTGACTTTTGCTTGGGGTTTCGTTGGATGAGATTCTCTGGCATCTCCAAGGCAACCGCAGGCGCCTATGCAGTCACAGGGGCAGCCGATGCAACCCATGCAGCCGCAGCAGCCCATGTCTGCGGGGCAGGTGAGAAAACTGGGGGCATTTGTGTGGGTGTGTGTGGGTGGTGGGTGGGAGTGTGTGGCGGTTCTACCTGAAAGTCTTGAAGACGATACTCAGCTGGTTTCCCCTCCCCGCAAGATACACACAGGCTTTGTCCGCAGAGTGTTGAGGAGAGTTTGCAAGGCGGTAGCCAACTGCTAGGACGATGAACAAAAGGAACAACGCAAAAAGAATCATGTTCACTGGCTTCAGATACTTTGTGTGGATGTTTTGTTGAACGGACAAAGTCTCTTAAAGGTCTTCGAGGTCTCCAAGTCAGTACGTCCGGCGATCGCCGGATGTCACATGGAAGCTCCATCGAGCACAATGGGCTCCATCCAACTCAGTACACAGGAAACATGACCAGCAAAGGGGGCCCCTCAGGCCAGTGGTGAACAGATTCCAGTCATGACAAGAATATTTTGATCAGATGCGAGAGGTATTCATCAGATCATCAGACACTGCAACACTTGGACCAAAGCACACAAGCACCTTCCAGGAAAAAATACTGATCATGCAGATGTTACTTTGGCGCATCCCAGCCAAAAAAAATCCACCAAGAGTCCGAGAGCGGGCGTTGGGATAGATGTCAACGTTGCTCACTCCAGATGTGAAGAAAGACTTCCACCCAGCCTCTCCACCACCTGCGCCCTCCCAGCCTCTAGCTCCGCTCACTGCCGTGCGTCGCTTTTCCACGCTCAGATGCCCAATGCCAGCGCCTTTGTTGGGGCTGGCGCAGCGGTGCGGCGCCCAGCTTCCGGAGTCCCGGTGGTTTGGGAGGTCTCGTGGAACCACCTGGAAGCTCTGGAACCCCAGTCCCAACCAGAAACTGTTTGGAACCCAATATGGCGCCATGCTTGAAATCCTTTACAGCACGGAAATGACTGGAAATGGGGAAACATCCATTTCTTTCTGGTTGTGACTGGGGTTCCAGGTAGGATGTGGACAGAGCTCTGGGTGGTGTGGCTTGGTTGCTCCCATCAGGATGGTGATGAGACCGCTCCGGTGCTCCTTGTGTGGCTTGGTGCGGTGTCACCCTGCATGGGAAGGTGTCACCCTGTCCTGCATGGCACTGCTGGGACGGTTTTACACAGGAATTGCTGCGCAGGACCGCACGATGCGTCACCGGAGGTGCGCAGGGGCCGGTATCATGAGAGAAGGTGTGGGAGTCCGGGTATGGAGAGACTTCAGTTTCGGGAGCCTAGCCGTGTGGCTGGCATTGAGTTAAGTTTCTTTTTGGATTTGCCTCCCTACTAGAACTTGAGCCACTGGAAAAGCTTCACCTCTATGTTGCCAGGGAAACTGAATGGTTCGGTATACCAAGCATGTGTTCATGATGAACACATGCAAATCGATATTCAGGATCCAACCGGGGATCCAGGCTGAAATAGCAGGTGGATGTTGGGTCTTCCATCGCTGGTTGGCTGGTTCGCTGGTCCTCCATAGACGTTTCTCGGGATTGGCAGAGGTCATTGATTGGATTCCCCTGCCCGTGGGTGTGTTTCGAAGTGGGAGATTTCCCAAAGACCCTCAATAAGAGACCAATTTGAGTAGAACCCTGTGGCAGGAGATGTCTCCTCATTTCATTGCACACCCACTTGCATCCATTGGGCTTGGGGTGCAGGATGCTGACGCTGGTATATGCGCCAATCAGGTGGGCCGAACCCGGACTGGATCTTACCCTCCCAAATTCATCTCGGTCAAAGTCTCGAAACAGGATATGCTTTGAACACCTATCAGATGGGAAAGGGTCTTCTTGAATTCATCGCACACACCAGTGTTTCCACCTGGCGAGGATCAGAAAACCTCGGTTGTTTTCTCTAGAACTGCACCCGTTCACGTGAATCCACTCGTAACTCTGGAATCTCCAATGGAGTTGGGCCGGGTTTTCTGGTCTCTTCATACCCGCCGTGTGCGTCTGCTGACCGCGCGGCGTGCTTTTTCAGGCCATGGGCAGTATGGGTATCAACGAGGCGACGGGTCGCGACGCGTGGGCAAAGCGAAAAAAACGGAGACTGCGAAGCAGAACGTCCGGTCGTACCGAGGGAAAACCACCGGAATTGGTCTGAAGATCCTCAAAGACATGGCGCTTGTTTCCGCTTGGCGATGGCCGAACTGGTGACCCCCCAAACCAACATCACACCCCTTCAGAAGTCGCGCGGCCTCCGGTCCGTTCGGCCGTTCCGCCGGGTAAGACGACCTTCCGTGCCGAAGCTCAGCTACATGACCTGGGGTCGGGGGGAGACTGGAAGTGGAAGTGGTGGTTTCGGCACGTGGTCGGCAACCTCGTTGGTGTTCTTTTTTGTCGTGTGTTTTCCGGTGTTTCTTATTTTTTGCTTTTATTTTTGCAGGTTCTTTTGTTTTTCCGAAGTTAAGTCCCTGCTCTCTTGCTTAGCTGTTGCATGAAGTTCATCTATTTACTTTGGTCATACAGTACGAAGAGGTCACAAGGAGTGTCAGATGATGTCAGATTTTCTCACATGACTTTTGATCATTATGTGTTTGTTTCATTGTTTTTCAGGAGAGCTAAGGGTGAAACACCGGATCATCTCATAAGTACTCCTTGGCGTCCAACCACCCGGGATTTGTTAGCCTTTGCTGAACATTCATTGTTTTGCTATGATTTGCTAAGGATTTTCCAATACAAAACCAGCTCAACAAAATTTACGTCTTGGAAGGCTCGGAAAAATTCAGGTTCTGGGACCTCAAACACGCATCAACATGCCAAATCTCATATGACAATATGTGTTTTCATCAGGTGATGTTCAACGATAATTGGACACTCACTGTTTTCCCAGTTGGAAAAAATTGGAGGTATCATGTGGTTATTGTTCAGAAGATTGTCAAAATTGTCAAACAAATCATGTTTCAAACAAGAAACTCTTCCAAAAAAAACAACAACCACCCTCCCAAGATTGACTCTCCCATGATTTGAAGTTACCTCCTCTTCATGCAGCGGGCGTGTCACCTGTCCTCTCACCTGTCCTCGTGGCCAGACCTTAGCCAATGCCGCGCTGAACCAGGCGAATAAGAAGTTGGGACGGACAAAATTGAATTAAGAAGTCACTGGCCTAGTCAGGGCGGAAGTCCAGGACTCCAATGTTGGACGGAAAGAAGGGATGGAATTCACTGGGATCGGCGGAATTCGGCCGCGCCCAGTCCGTGGATCACCACCTTGTTGGGGGCATTGGCGACACCGGAACCAAACACGATCAGGTTTACCGAAGGTTTACCTGTAACTTACCAGGGAAAAGGTTCGAAAGTCAGCTGAAATTTGGAGGAGTCAGCTGAAACTTCTTGAGGGTGGAAGGCGTTGATCTGGAGATCAACCCAGGACTCCTTTCTCATGGGTTTTCCATGTTTCACGGATTGGAACTGTGCCAGTGAAACGGACTCCGTTGGTCAGGAGGTCAACAAAATGATCAGTTTGCATACCTGGCTGACATGCTTTGCTTGGATGACGCGGATGGAATTATGAGCTTTTGGAAGATTGAGCGCCGGAAGGCTCACAACCCACAACCCGCAATGCACTGGGATGCCAGACTCATGGAAGTGAAAACATGGCGCCGAAAGGAAGACTGTTTTAATACCCAGACACGACTAATGGGACTGCCATATCTGCCTTGAAAACTGCCAGGGGTGGTGGTTGTTTTGGGGGGTCTGGACCTGGGGTGGCATAGGACTGCCAGTCCCATGGAGTGTATTGCCCAAACGCTCCAAACAGCCCTTGGTCCCTCAAAACCTAGGGAACTGAGACCCCAGACCCCTCCAGAGGATTCGGGTCCGACCCCTCCAAAGGATTCGGCCCATGACCTCCACTTCCATGCAGTGAACACCTCGCAGAAGGTCACCGATCCGTTTCCTTCGACGTTTCCTCTACAAGGTCCGATCCGGCGAACCAATGGTCTTCCATCGTCTTCCTAGCTGATGAATGCAATGGGTACCTGGTACCCTTGTCCATGGTTTTGGCTCAAATCAAGAGAATCTTAAAGAACTAGCGACAAAGTCATGGCCCCTTTCCCTTCCCAGAAAGGGCTCGCCACTCGGACACCGAGCTAACCACACCGCCATTGCTCAAGGCCATGACGCAGATGCAGATGAGTGGAGTCGCTGGGACGGCAGCGGCGCCGATGCCGAGAATCGGCAGAAACGTTAAAAACATGTTTGACAGCGTCCCTTTCTGTTAAGTTCGAAGCTTCAAGCATGGAAGGAGGGAATGCCAGCAAACACGAGGTTTCTTTACAGATAGAGGGGTGGAACCCACCACTTCTGTGCGCAGTTATATACGTGGCCAGAGTAATAAATTGCTTCGAGGCGTGGCGTGGCGTTCCGTGGTCGATCAACGACCCACCGTTCGTTCAGACGGTCCAACCTCCCTCGGGTGTCTCACTCGTTGGGGCGGTCATCCAGGTGATGACGTCATGAAACGGCGGAAGTCGACGTCAAGTTCCATCAAGGTCCCTACCGGGGAAAATCATGGAAGCTGAGCAGACCCCCCTTGTAGAACCGCATGATCTACTGGAGTTGGTGATACAAAAACACCTACAAAAAAGGAGGTCTTAAAGGACTCAGGACTTAGGACTCAGGACCTGGGTAAAGAGACCAGATTCATGTTGACTTGACGTATCCATTCACACTATTGGTCGATGGGTTGAACATACACATGTGACATAGATCCCACATGTCATGGACACAGATCCATATAGATCCCACATGTCATGGTCATGGACATCGAAAGTTCAAGCTCAAAGGTTTCGTTCAAGGCTCAGCGCCGAGGCCATGCGGTGGTTTCCCTTCCTCTTCGTGAGCCTCCAACAGCTCTTCAACGTAGGCGCCAGCGGTGGTGCCGGGCCTGGGAGGTGTCCGTGCACGGGCTAAACCACTAATGACCCCCCCCCTCCAAGTCCTGGAAACAGTGGATGAATCGACGTTTGATGAACAAAACATCCCGTAATAATATACTGTAATATATATAATTATGCCTATGCCATATAGTATAGGTGTTCTACAATCCGATCATGAGCCAATTTCATGTAAGATTGGGGCCCCGGTGGGGAGAGCTGGAGGAGAGCTGAGGTGTGACCCAGTGGAACCACCGGAGGCGGATGGTCCCCACCAAATCGTTCCCAAGACGCAACAGACGAAGGGGAACGGGAAGCACGAACGTTCTGACGGGCCATAAAAAGCTCACAAGCCTAAACCCAAACCTGAAATGTTTTTTTGTTTGCACAAGCCGTTGTGGACGAGCTGGACCAGCCTATAGTTCGATTCAAAACCCAGACACCCCATGTAATTATGGCAATAAATAGCATGCATATGCTTATATTGACCCGTGAAACCGCCACAACTGATCGGCAAATATGGCAGGTGCCTGACCCTAGTCGTGTTTGGGGGGCAGATACCAACCAATGTCACTGTTGGAACCATGGGTGAGTTGGTACTGTATCAGAACATTTCTGAGAATCAGAGTTCGAAACATCGTTGTTGCAGGAAAGAAGGCTCCTTTTCTGCAATAAAAGATCCAGAAAAGGATGAACACCTGCAATTCGGTTGGATTGAGATCCAAACAAAAGATACGCATCACTTTTTCTATGCAATTCTGACGTGATTGTTCAAAACCAGCAGCTGTCATGGGGTGATACCTTGCGTACCTGTCCACTGAGATACGTGGAGCTTTGTAGACGGACAGACGGATTACAGTGGACCCCAAGAAAACAATGTCTTGTGCTACAAACTATATGAGCTGTTTGTAGGAGGTCCATTTTATTCTAGAATACAGAATACCTGAAAGCAAGGGGTGGAGCGGGCGATTCATGTTCAGTGCACAGCAGTATATACAGTATACCTCCCGCAACTCTGGGGTTATCCAGAGTTGCCCAATGACTGGCCCAATAATTGTCCAGGAGTACGTAGTGGAGCTATTCTTATACGTGCCGGGTGGCATGAACATGTGAAATCCCTGCAGGTTTTGCCACTCTTGCATTTGCATAATATTGGGCACTAGCGGAAACTGAAAGATCATCTCACGCGCCCACACGTCGTCCAATTCTAGTCAGTCCTGCAGATTCAGCGACTGGTGCTTGAAACTCTTTGATTTGAAGGACTTATATTCATCCCACAGTCCCCCAACGCAAGGACTCGCATAGTTCCATTCTTCTGGTCAAAAGCAGTCGAGGCCTTCGTACTTCGGGTCCAGTCAAACGCAGTCACGTGTGGTTTTTCAGGCCTTGAGTTCACGTTCACGCTCGTTTGCAGACCCGTTACGCCCCGTGTTCGTGTGTTCCTTTGACTCCGTAGGGAAGCACCGGTTTGGACTGGTCCCGAACCGATCGAGTTTGGAGGTCGGTTGGAGGCGGAAGGTCTGATGTTCGGCGAAAGGCGACGACCCAATCCGGCAAAGTCGTGGCCCAATTCGTCGTGGCTACACGACGAATGGAACTGGCAGTCCGGACTGCCGCCATAGGTCCAGACCGCCCCCCAAAACAACCACCACCCCTGGCCGGTTTGAAGGCAGTCCGGACTGGCAGTCCCAGGTCTGGGTCGTGTTTGAAATGTCTTTTGGCAAGTTCAAGGATGACAACGACCTGCTTCACCTCCCACTCGCGCATCGTCGTCTTGTGGAAGGATCTATCGCTGCGTCGTCTTGGGGTATTTGGCCGACTGAAACCATTTAGTTTCGATCCGCCGCAGCTGTATATTCCTTCAAGAGGATGAAGCCCCGGGACCTTTCAAGTGTCTCGGACATGAAGATGAAGTAGCGAATGGGGGTGTTCCTCACAAAACCACATGCGAATGGGGGCCATATGTGCCCGTGTGTTGTTCGGTCCTTCCGTATGCACCCGCTCGAACCCTCTCTATGTGGTGTTTTTCTGAGTTTGGACCTGGAAATAGGTCCTGGAAATGGATAGCCTAGTGAGGCTTAGTGAGGGCTATCGAATTCTTCAATTGAACGTCTTTCAGTCAGACTTGCCCGACTTGTCAAGCCCAACTTGTCTTCTTCCTGCATGTGTTTCCGAGTGTTGCCTCTAATGTTGTTAACGCACTTTGACCCTTTTCCTAATATGATATCAGAAGGGTATAGTGCACAGAAAGGGTTTTGCAAACACCTATTCTACTACCATCGTGGAAGGCGCGGGACATTCGTAGAACCCAAGGCTATTCGTGGACAGTTTGTGGAATGGTGGGCCAGTAGGAAAACTGACTGCAACGAAATCCCGGAAACCTTCGCAGAACTTCGTGGAAGGTATTTTGATGCACTAACTTCGTAAAACCGATTTTTGCTGACTCCCTTTCTCCACACACCCTCCATTTAGCCTTCATGATAACTATAAATGTTTCTTTTCTTCAGACTGAACATTCCCACCACCTTCTCCTTCTTTCCAGAAACAGACGATGAATTACAGAAAAAAATCATCACCAGTCTACCCAACCGACATCCACCACCCCCCACCCAACCGTCCAACAACCTCAAACAGTCCACCGGCGTGGCCACCGGTGCGTCGCACGGCCCATGACGGAAACGGTGACGGTGCACCAGATGAGTGGCAAGGTCTCCGTGGTCGAGGCGGGGTCGAAGTCATGTGAAGTGGATGTGTGAAGGTGGTGTTTTTTTTATGTGTGGTGTTTATTGAGAGAAGACACCATATGTTTACACCATATTACATTGTGCTTAATTGTTTTTTTTGTTTTATCGTGGTTTTTTTGATGTTGATTTGTGATGCTGCGTGGGAATTGATATGAATTGATCATGCTGTTTTCGATACTCGACTGCTGACGGATACATCTCATGTTGTCAGACAAGGCAAGAAGATATTCCTGAAGTACTCTTCCGCTTCCAAGAGGACCAGCTATTGAACTTGTAGTCAATCACTCAAACGACTCTCTGTGTTCCACAGACGCAACATTGCAAAGTTGTTTGAAACTGGCTTGTCCAACATTCCTCCGCTTAAGAACTCATCCACTCTTGTCCCCCTTGAAATTAGGAAGACCCAGGCCCGTTGTTTGAGTAGAGAAGCTTGATGCCAAGTGAAATCGGGATTTCTTTGGATCAGTTTCGCTTCTGTGAGGCAACTGATGATTAGGTGTCTTTTTCTATTTTCTCAGGTCGGCAACGAGCGGGGTGATCAAAGGGTCACAGATTTTAGAACCAGTGATTCAGTGATCGAAAGGTGCAACAACAAGGGGTGCACCTGGCAACAAACGAGTGAATCGCCCCAACCGTGAAGTCGTGAAGTCCAAAAATGCACCGTGGTCCGCACCGCAGAGCAGCCCCGGCCTCGGCTGCCGGTGGCCCTCGGTCCCTGACCGCCGCCAGATCTCCGAGACGACGACGTTGCGGGACTTGAAGACTCAGCTGAAAGGACAGGCCTGTGACGTGGCGGCAGGGTGAAGCGTTCGGCCTTCCCGTGGGCCGTACCTCAGTCTTCGTGGGACGGGTGGGGTTGTGTTGGATGTTTTTAGCTTTTTTTTGGGGGGGGGATTCTGAGGAGCTGAAGCGCTTGAGGTGCTGATATCGGGGTCTGGCAAGTTGATTTAAAACATACTTTACTTCGAGTGATCCCCACCATGACATGTCAATCTGTTTTGATGACATGGTGAGGAGCATGTTGCCATGGTCGTGGGTTTTGTTGTTCTCGATTTTGCTTGCGAATGTGTGTTTGTGATTGTGTGTTGGTGATTGTGTGTTTGCGGTTATGTGTGTTTGTGGCAGTGTCTTTGTGATTGTGTGCCTGTATTGCGTGCTTGTGATTGTGGGTTTGTAGCTGATTGTTTGTGGTTGTGTGCTTGTGATAGTGTTTGTTGCTGTGTGTTTGTGATTTTGTGTTTGTGGTTGTGTGATTGTGCTTGTGGGCGATGTTGTGTGTTGAGGGTTGTGTGATGTTGTGTGTTTGTGGTTGTGCTTGTGATTGTCCGGTGGTGCCCACTGCGACGGCGATCTGGCGCTTGGACACTGTCATTTGGCAAGCTTTGCTGATTTCGTGATGCAGGAGAACATCAGGAATGAACGCAATTTTTGGAAAGCTGCAACGCGACGCAAAGAATATGAAGGCACCATCAATGGCGGAAAGATGGTGCAAAAAGGGTGGTCAGAACCAATCTTTGCATGAAGAGAGACAATGTTATTCCTTCTGCCGCAAGAAGCACCTGTCGATACAGCATCGATGCTTTGAACCTGGCTCTCCGCTGAAACCACAGAGCGGACTTTGATGGGCTGGTGGTGCTGGAGGTATTGGAAAGACTGACATGGCGCGTGCCCTTCTGTCAAGCATCGGAGAGCACTTCTTTGTGGATAGTCTCGATACAGTGAAACCACTTCTTTTGATGGGGGAGCAAGCTCCAGGGGCCTGATCAGACCTCTCAAAGCTCATCAGTGCAGAGTCCAGGATCAGTTTGGAGGGTGGTGGCGGACAATGAGCACAGCGATCTGCCTGGCATAGTGGCAGTTGGTGTGCCCTCAGAGAACCTGCTGTGGGTCCTTCTGGGCTTTGACATGGATGCAGCCACCTTCCCAAAGACGCAGCGCTTCAATGCAGAGGAGTGCTGGCAATGCTTACAGAGGAAGCATATGTTTTGCTTCAACTTCAGACTCGAAATTGATGTGTGTTTTTCCCCCTGGTTATATTTTGCCAGGACCGACCCTTCTTTGAGGCGGCTGATCGTGATGAAGCCCGGAAATGCCATGGGTGCCTCCCGTCAACCAGAACCCGGCAAAGTCGCTGGTCGCTGGGCGTCGATGGGTGTCGCTGGGTGTCGATGGGCCATGAAGGGCAAACACCCAATATCGAGATATTGCCATGTCATCTGAAGCATTTAGACTTCCATGATGCTAGC